GCCTTGCTAAGCGAGCGTGTTCAAGTCCCGTGAGGTCTCTCCGTGACTCAGTTCCCCCCTTTGTAAAATGGCGATAATGCTACCTACCTACCTACCTTTCTAAGGCCCCGAAACAAGATTGTGCGATGCAATGTGCTGTAGATATTACTATTTAAGAGTGGGACTTTTATCTGTATAGGGACTACAAGATCAGCCCCACGTAAATATTTTGTAATGATTGTTGTGGCTCCAATCCACTACAAAAAAGCCCGGGTTCCCAATCATGTAACCTAAACCGCCAGTTTAAATAGCCAGTGCTTCTGTAGTTTACATCTGAATACGCTGAGTATAAAAAGCTTAGCATACTGTATATTTAAAATGGATGCTACCGTTTTTTTATTCAAACATTTCATCCTCCTTTAGTGCTTCTCCTCGCCCGCCTCGATATCTGCCCCTCACAGCGGACCATTTCACAATGAGGCATTTGGGAAGGGCCTGGTTTGAATTATAGAATCATAGAAGGATCATAGAAGACTAGGGTTGGAAGAGACCTCAGGAGGTCATCTAGTCCAACCCCCTGCTCAAAGCAGGACCAACCCCAACTAAATCATCCCAGCCAGGGCTTTGTCAAGCCGGGCCTTAAAAACAGGAGTAAGCCTTACTCACAGGAGCGCCAACAATTTCTAGCACGAGTAATGCTTACTCACCATTAGTTGTAATGGGGTTGCTTGTCCGTGTTCTGAATTGATGACCTTCCCCTGATCATTTTCTCATGACCACCTAACTGCGAAAACAAAGATAATCAACTGTTGGGGTAGAGTACGCAGCATAAACGGGACGGTTCAGAGTATTTCCTTGACAGCTGTTACTGAAATGCACCAAATTACCTGAATATGAAACAGTCACTCTGACCCAGACACGCACATATAGATTTAGGTATGTCCTCTGCACACGCACATGTATTCAGTACGAGTTGCATGCATTTGAAGTCATGAGTATAGATTTACATTAAAACTACTTTTGATTTGACCTATTCTCGCTGTCCCGGTTTTACTATAGGGCCTTATGAACCGTCCCTCTCCCTAACAGACTCTGTAAAAGCTCTTCTTCCGTGGCAATAGATTAGAACACAGGTTCTTGAATGTAGCCTTTTTAGTGTCAAAGCCGTACATAGACTCAGCAATGGTTTACCTGATGGACACGCAGCTAAACTAGAGCGGGATTGCTTTGAATGTTGCTAAAATCAGAACATTTGAAGACAATTCATAGCAGAGCATGTGTACTGCGAAAATCCTGAGTCGCAGCAAAATTCTTATTTCACTAATGCCTATTAAACATAAGGCCAAATCCTGCTACCTTCATTCTCAGGGATTACTCGACTAAGTGAATAAAATTTGTCCTAGCAGGGACCATCTATGTTATTCACTTTTACTCCACCCCTTTAAAAGAAGCTTTCAGGGTAGCATTGTTCGTCTTAGAGCTCTTCTTTAAGAAAACCAAGTTGCTTCTGTAGACCAAAAATGCATTTCTACTTTTATGCACCTCGTATGTTTTGCCACACATACTAGCTTGGTGCTAATTACAAAGGCTAAAATAAACTGAACTTGATGACCAAGGTGAGATCTGCTAAAAAAGTTTTTCCGTAAATGAGGCATTTCCCTGTTTTTGCTTGTGTGCGGTTTAATTTGAGATACTGAATTCAAACTTTGATTTAAAAGAGAACTTTCTAGCGTGTTCCTTGAGAGGCCTGGTTCATTTTATATGTTGATGATTCTTCACAGCAGGTGTCTGTAATTTCCCAGCCCAATTTTTGCAGTCCATATTTAGACTGTAGGAGAAACTTGCTACAGTAAATAATGCAGGATCTCTCCCACCGTTTGTATGACTGAAGAGGACTGAAAATTCACTTGCTGAGCTTCATAGTAACACTGAAGCTATGCCCTATGACAGGATGTGCGGAGGGAATTTAATCTCTAATATGATTTTGGTTGATCAAATTTCTCCCACTTATGCAATTGGGCCCGATCCTGCTTTCACTGAAGCCATTAGGAGTTTTGCTATTGACTTCAATTGGAGCAGGATTGGGCCCACTACACATACGGGCACTCCCCCACATCAGTTATCTTGAAGCTTCTTTCCATTTAGTTTAGAAAAATAGCCATCTCTTAATAAAAAACAGATATTGTAGCTTTCTTATTTTTTGCTTTTTTTCCCCTGGACTAATGTGCCAAAGACTGTACAAAACTAAAGGCACAGGATTTTTTTTTTTCGGGAAGGGGACTGGCTTTGTTTTAGCATGACTATTCCCTTAATATTTTAATTGGAAACACAAACTTTAAAAGGGGCCGGTTCTGGGTATAAAACTATTATTCTGTGAGGCTTAGATGAAGCTGTTGACTGGGGTTCACTTTTATAGTAGCATTCGAAGCTGGATAAATGCACACAAATATCTTAACAGTCCTTTTTAGTGTCAGGGAATTTCGGTCAGTGATACTATCGAAGCAATTTCAAACTAGTTTATGTACCGTGGGGTACCTTAAAAATTCTCGCAAATAAAAATAACGGGTACATTTTCTCTTTCCCCTATTAATGAGGGTCATTTGGACAATTTATATCACAAAGCAAGAACAGCATCATTTAAAACACAGGGAAAAAATCTTGGAGGCAGGAATTAATGCCTAAACTGTGTTTACTCCCATATCTGTAATGTTATGTCAATCTCTCGTCCAGGAGACGAAGGGTTTTGTTGAATTAATAAGATAAATGTTGAAAGCATATTATATGCAGCCTTTAATCCTAATGTCAGAAAAAATCGTAATTATGGAGAGGATAAGTGAATTTGAAAGTCAACTATTATCCAACTCCCTGATTGCAAACTATTTCTATTCGCCTCTGTGAAATGCTTTCTTTCTTTCTTTCTTTCTTTC